CTCAGCCTCTGCCTGTGCAGAACAAAAGATTTTTTTGGTAACCTGCAAACTGCAACGCGGATAAATTTTATTTTGCCCCTGCGCGGTATCGCGCAGGGGTGAAAAATTATGCAGGTGATCAGCTCTGTTTGGAACCTAACAGGAAGGTTGTGCCACGCAAGTACTGCAGCGGGAGAAATATTATTTTGAGCTCATTCACACGTTTCTCATTCCAAATCTGTTTGTTTGGTATAGGATTTCTGACAAACAAATGTTTTCTTTCGGTTATTATTGTAGACAATCACCTAAAGGCCAGTACCAATTTGATGTTGAATTTGTCTCAAATGAAGAATAAACTACTATAAAAGACGTACACGATCATCATAATGAACAAGATTTAAATGTAATTGCCATGGAAATGGACATTTTTGTATGTCAACTTGTATTTCATTTGTTCTATTTGTATTTTTATTTAATAGTTGAATTTTTTTATTCGAACAATTTATTAGTAATTCAATTAGATCGTTGTTATTAATCTTACAATCATGGTATCCACCGTAATTTTCATTATCAAAACTATTTAGACAAATTCGATTACCAGCTGTCCATCCATGAAATGAAGGTGAAGAATGTGATAGTGATTGTAGTGGTGTTGATTGTGATATGATACCAATAAATATCCAATTTGAATTTGACATTTTTTCTATTGTAAATTTTATTCTATGAATATCAGTTGAATATAAATTTTTACCACGTACTTCACAATATTCCAATTTATCATTTGAATGAGCAGCAACAAGACCATTTTCTTCTATTCTAATATCATTACAATGAACTTGATCAAATTTTTCATTTGAATTTATTGCTACAATATTTGATATTGATCGGACATTAATTACATTAATTGATGGTGTATTGATTTCAATATTTGACGATAATTGTTTAAGTTGTTCAATCAACTGTTGTATATTAATTTCACTATGATCATCATCGATTCCGCGTTTTAAACGTAATTCATTTTCTATTTTATTAATTTGATTTCTATTATTATCAAATTTTTGTTGAATATATTTACGTACTTTATCAGTAGCTTGTTGAATTATTCGAATAGAATCTTGTTCCCATTGATTAATTTGAGTTATAAATAAAAGTTCTTGATCTAATTCAGATTTTCTTATTTGCTGTAATAGCATGTCATGTTCATACATAATATTATCGAAATTTTGTCAATGTTTTTGTTGTTTCGATGATTCGACCATTTCTATTCAAATTAATATATTTTTCTGCCTTAAAAGGTGTAGGTAAATAGTTAGTTGTTTATGAAATAAATCTGAGAGTGAAAGACAAGAAGTGTTTCTTCATACCTTTAAACGTTATTTGCTTCTTCTGTCCTTTATTCTGAAATGAAAAGAGTGTGTGTGCGAATCAACAAAAAAGAAAAATGTTTGATGTTGAAAGAAAAGAAAAACAATACTTCTGTCTTTTGTTTAATGTCACCATTTTAGGGACATTGTGGTTATTTTGTTGTGAATAGAAAACTCTTTTTTATTTTTCTGCCCAGTTGAACTCTTCCTGCTGCTAGCATAATTCGCCCGACGCAAATCCCAAATCCATTCACACACATTTTTTCATTTCAAAATAAGTTTCATCAAAAAGTTTTTTTTTCCTGTTTTGTGGAACACCACTTTTCCGGAAACTCCAGTTGAAATGTATTTTGACGAAACTTCTGACCAATTTTCAAAATGCGAAGAGCCCCATGAAAGTGTCTCTAATTACCCCGTACGGGTAATTAGAGACACTTCACTTGTACGCTTAGGGTAAATAGAGGCACTCCATTCAAATACATTGAGTTTTAATGTACAATTGCTGTTGAATTAAGCTTAGGAGATAATTAGTTCAAGAATACCTTATTTTATAGCCCGGATCTTCCTCTCTCTACCATATAGTTTTGAGCTCATTATCTTTTAAACTCATTAAGCTAATTAGCACATAATCAGCAGCACTGGAAACTTTCTTTTTTCCTTTTTTATGCTTAAGGGTAAATAGAGACACTCCACTTATTTGAAAACTTATTTTGAAATGAATTTTTTCAGCAACGGAAAGCAATATCCAAAAAATATCTCCATATTATTTTTGCCCATGCGAAGAGGTTTTCTATTATTAGTTGCACAATCTAACTTTCATAAAAACTGAATTATATGTTGTCTTTAAAGACCGACATAAAGACAAACAAATTTTATCTTTTAGTCTAAATGTTGATGTACTCTTCTACATCAAGAAAACATCAGTCATTAGGATTTTAATGGAAAATCCCTCAACTTAACGAGTTAAATGGAAATGAATTAGAGTGTCCATTTCTGCTTTTTATCCCAACAGGAAGAAAAAATGTTCAGCATCGTGTCGAAATATTTTTAAAAAATAGCTCTCGTCTGGCTTTTGAGATATAGGGCCACCAATGTCATTGCTTGGCTCCGTCAAAACAGAACTTTTGTTTTTCTCTGACTAGTTAGATCAGTTTTAAGTAAAAATTTTTCCCACTGTCATAGCCTTCTCTTCGGGCCATGGTAGTCGGAAGAGATGAACGGCCAAGTTTTTCTTTTCGTCTTAATCGTGGTTAACGCTCTTATGTGAACATAGTGTATGACAAGACAAAAAATCAAAGAATCGTTGAAAGTAATTGAACGCGTAGAACATGGACGTAGACTTTATTCTATGCATATATTTCTGTACGCATAGGTATAGATGAATATTGTTTTCACTCTTTTTCTGCAGTTTTTGGGAAAGGTGAAAATCTGATGTATGTAAGAACAGAAGAATTTTACAGAACAGAAGAATTTTCTTTTTGAATTACCAATTAATTACACATACAATCTAAAGCTAAACTATGTTCTTTACGAAATCTATGCAGTAACAACTTTATACGAAAAGTCAGATAATCTTCAATTTTTCCCATGTGGAAGCAATGGTTATAAAAAGTATAATAATATAATATAATAGAAAAAATTATTCGAATTTTACGTGCTGGAACAGTTTGTTGAACTTTAGGGCCCTTTGAGTATTTTATTGATTTTCGCATTGAAAAAATTAGTTCAGAAGGTTAAGACTAACATATTCTTGATCAGCTGGAAAAGCTCTATCCAACTGTGTATAAAAAGTCAAAAAGAAAATAGCGCTTGCTGTAACTTTGAATTATGCGCGCCTTAAACAAAAATGTTAAAATTTCATTTTTGCTTTAAATTTGAAAAATATAAACAAAGTGATTGTTTGAAAAACTTTCCTTTCAGATAAATATAATCCAAACATGTTCCTTCAAGAATCCATCAAGCACTAAAACTAGGATCAGAAAAGTTTTTCATTGTAAACATCTTCAATTTAAATGACGAAACTTAAGCTTTTTTGGCAATATCATTTGGAAGAACGCCTTCTGAGATCCCGAATGACTTTCTTGTGCAGTTTTCCACCCTCGAACCATCATGATTATAACATCTAAATTTGAGAGGCATTCTCAAAGATTAAATCGTCCTACAACCTTGGTGATATAGCTGATTATCAAAATAGACTCAACTTCTGTATCCACCAGTTCCACTTAAGGGTTCCCCCGCTAAACATACCCTCAAACTTTGCCAGTTTGTAGAGAATGCCTTCGGTGATATGCCTGTGCAATAAAAAACTCGTTGATCAAATATTGACAGAGTTATTAATTAATTAAGTTCAAAACTAATTGAAATTTTTGGTTTGACAGGCATCTTGTAAAACCTTTCCACTTTTCGATATAAATTTTACATTCAATTGACTGGGATGTAGTTTTATAGAGAACTGTTTGTAGATATAATTCCATAC